GTCGTGTGCAATAAGGCATTTGTAGCTAGTGCACGACTTACAGCTCATCTCCGAACCCACACGGGCGAGAAGCCGTTCGAGTGTGTCGTGTGCAACAAGAAATTTTCGAAAAGCAGTAATTTGCGCACACATCAGCGAACACACACGGGAGAGAAGCCCTATGAGTGCAGCGAGTGCGGGCTAAGGTTCTTGCACGCTGGCAGTCTGCGGAGTCATCTCCGCACTCACACCGGGGAAAAGCCATTCGAGTGCACCGAGTGCGGCAAGACTTTCGCGCACCAGGGCAACATGAAGGTTCACCTTCGAAGGCATTTATTATAGAGACACTGGGCCGTGGTTTGTGGCGCGCTCTTAAGAACGTGTATAATTTAGACATCTATTTTGACAGTGTTCATTGTACGATTAAATTGTATTTTAATGATTAAACTTATTCTTAAACCAGTAGATATGTGTTCTGCTTGAGAGAGAGGCATAGGGATTTTTAGTTTTTTAGAGACAGATATCTGCCCCTTGCGCTCTTCCTAGCTGCCCCCGCTCCGGCCAGACCCGGCAGGCATTTGCGGCATCTGCCATGGGCGTGAGATCAAAGGGGATGACTCGCAGCGGAACCACAAACTGGACCTAGTCCTAGACCTAGACCTAGTCGCCCTCCTTGTGAACACAGAGGTCCGGGGCGCTCGTCGTGTAAGAGCAATAGCACCTTGGCTCCCACCTCGGTAAACCAAACTCAAAGAAAAGAATATTATGAAAACACAGCAAGAAGTCCTTTGACAAAGCTGCGCGATTCTTTTCGCAACCTATTTCCATTTAGGAGCGCCCCCCCCCCCCACCTCCGCCCTCTTCGCTGAGAGGGAGAATACAGCGCACTTCCCCTCTTTCACACGAAAAATCGTAGTAGTCATGAACATTACCGCCTCATTGTGACACAAAACGTCCAGGCGGAGAGCAATAGAACGCCTCTGCTGTCTCTATCCCTATGGCCCGCTCCTCATCTCGCATTCCCCTTTTTATTGTTTCCCCTCTTTCTCCCTGGGCAATTCCAGGAGAAATGGTCAAAAATGTCCGTCCGTCACGCACTTTGTGAACGACTGGGAGGCGCTACGTTGTTTTACAACACATGTCCTGACTCCCCATCTCAAGACGCGTCTAGTCGTGTTTTGTTCGAGGCCGTAGCACCTCTCAGTCACTCACAAATCACGTGACGTGCGGACACCCCCTCCTGGAATTGTCCCCCATGCCCCATGCGACTAAATGTTTGTTTTATTTTATTTTTTCTCTGTCGAGAGAGGGAGAGAGAGACCATCTGCTTGTTGGAAATAAAAATAAACGAAACCCGACGCCCTCCACCCCCAACCCGCTCGGGAAACAAAC